GAGAAGTCGAATTCAATTCGCGTTTTCAATATGTTTTCGGGGAAATGCGGAAAAGTGTACCAACTTTCAAGTTTCCAATCTAATAGTTGCTACAAGCATTGCGCAAGGCACAAGATGATACAAAAACTCACTTTCTTTTAAATACTATACTCAAAACTACAAAATGAAGGCTTAAATTAGGAAAAAAGGATGAGAAAGCGTCACAAAATATATTCAAATTCTCTCCCTAGATAGTCTTTGCTAAAAAATTTCATTCAATTTTCAATAAAAGAATCCCTAATCCAATCAGCTAATTACCATTGAAAGAACAAAAAAAATCTTGCAGAAAAATTATAAAAGATTTTTTTTGAAAAAGTTGGATTAAGCATTTTGCTTGGATTAAGCAAAAATCGTTTTTAATCAAGCGTTTGATCGGATCAAATGACCGTTCAAATGATCGGAATCTCAATAATGTTTAAATTTTCAAAATTAAAATAGAATTTCGCATTGAATTCAGCATTGAATTCATCAAAGTGTGTATAACTCTTTTCCAATAAGAACTCCCAGAATTTGGAATCGACTCCCCAGAGTTTTGAGAGAGTCCAATAGTCTCGAAACCTTTAAATCTGTAGATGAATCTTTAAATTGAATCTGTAGATGATCTGGATCTAGAAGCTCTAGTGGATCCTTGACGTTATCTGTGCTATCATAGAGTCCATAAATCGTCTGTAGAGGATGTGGCTCTTGAAGCTCTAGTGGATCCTTCCCTTTATCTGTGCTATCATAGTTTCCATAAATTATCTGTAGATGATGTGGCTCTTGAAGCTCTAGTGGATTCTTCCATTTAGCTGTGCTATCCATAGTTTCCATAAATTGTCTGTAGATGATGTTGCTCTTGAAGCTCTAGTGGATTCTTCCATTTAGCTGTGTTATCCATAGATTCCATACATTATCCGTAGATGATCTTGATCTTGAAGCTCTAGTGTATCCTTGGCGTTATCTGTGCTACCCATAGTTTCCATACATTATATCGTGTTGATTTTTATCGACCCTTTTCGTGTTATATGTATCAATTCATATGTATTAATCTTAAACCTAGCGCACTTTATCTCAGGTCCTGAATAAAGTATCTATCTATCTATCTATATATATATGTGGTAGCCGCTGACGAATTTCAGCCGCTAACGAATCATTCTTTAACGGGCTTAGCACGCATAAAGCCTTCTTAAACATACGTTACGGCTCCGTCAACGAATGAAATTTTTGCTATGCACAATTTAATGTCTTCCGTGAACATGTCGATTCAAATGAGCCTTTGATTTCAAAACTATTTATACAAAACGCAAATCAGCAAATTAATCACAACAAGTGAAATAAAATTTATAACATTTAACATTTATAACATTTAACATTTATAACATATTAACGTTTATAACATAATAACGTTTATAACTAACAAAACATCAACTAAAATGCATAAAACAAACTGTTTATTTGTTGGTGCAGGAATTACTGTGATGACATCGGCTATTGCAGAGCATATTGGTTTTGAGGCACACACATCGTCCATACGTGCATCCATTTGTGCAATTGCTTAAGTTGCCAGAATTTCCTTGAGATCCCGTGATAATCTCCTCGCAGTTTTTTCCACATACAGGTCCCGGCCGGCGTGTCCAGTCTTTTGTGAGTTGACGTCAAAACATCGAAGGTTCCTTTTTCTTGAGCGGACGCGTTTTGGCTGTTCGAATTCTCTCCTTTAAATGTCCATATTGTAGAGAATTTTTGATTGCTCAATACATTGAATCGAGTAACGACGCCCAATTCGCCTCTTCTCTCGTTCGCTTCCGTTTCTCGCTTTCACTTTCACTTGACATTGTTGTCAATCTGTTCGCAATTTCGTCGTATTTTTTCGTCGTAGATATGCGTTCGCTTTTTCAAAATTTGATACGTGTCAAGTTGGTTGAGAAACGAACATCCTGAAAAACAAATATAATAAAGCAAGTATAAAAAACAAAGCAAATAAAAAGAGAAAGAAAATGAACCGAAATCACTGATAACAATGGGGAGGACTCGTCCCGGAGGACCCATTTTCAGCAAAGGGGTATTTTGACAACTTTAACAGCCCCTTCAAAATGAATTTTTTCTCTTTGCTTTTTTTTGCGAAAAAATTTGAAACCAAAAACACGGTAAGTTCATTTGAATCTAGCCATGTTCGCAGAAGCCAATTACAAAGATTTCGTACACATCTAGTGAAAAATTTCATTAGAAAGGGTAAAAGATCGAAGGGGCGATTACGAATGATTCGTTAGCGGAGCCGATTACGAATTCGTAAACGGCAGCGAAAAATCATCTAGGGGGGTAACGAATGATTCGTTAGCGGCTGAAATTCGTCAGCGGCTACGACATATATAAATATAAATATAAGCTTCCGTTTGATCGGAATCACAATAATGTTTAAATTTTCAAAACTAAGATAGAATTTGAATGAATTCAGCATTGAATTCGTCAAAAACCAACCAGAAAATGCGAGAAAAATCCTTCAATTCGAACGATCACCTCGAAAAATTCGAAATCCGAAAGAATCGAAGAGTTGACGATGAGAATTCTCAGTTTAATGCATGTTTGATTTGAAGACATGATCTGGAATGAATCTTTAATTATAATTATAAAATAAAATCATAAAATTCTTACCAAATCGGTTAAGAAAATACTCAAATAGATTTTTAACCAATTCATCAAATAATAAACTTTTATCTTCTCACAAATTCCCGTTGAAGTCTGAAAATGAAATTTAAATGCTGCCAGTTATCGTATTCATTCTGAAGCGCACCCTCTAATAGAAGCAATTTTGTGGTTGATTGAAGCAAGCAATAGAATGATTGAAAAATACGGTAAACAGTGTTAGAAAGAAAGAATTGCGTGGGAAACTAGAGTAGAGATTTGCTCATATCATTCTCTCCGATGATCATAATATCACCTGGATGCACTCACATGATATCGACCATCGATCAGCTCAAAATGTTCATCCATTAACCCGTTCACATCTTTTTCTCATCCAAATCAGGAAATGAAATCAGGCAAGGGAGCACGCATTTTACCCAAATGAAAGGAAAGATCTTTATGGTGACAATCTTTGCGCACAGAGAGATCAATTGAACAGTCATTTGAAGGACAACGTTATCGTCTCTGTGTACTTTTGAGGTCATTTACTAGATTCTCCTTCACTAGATTCTCCTTCACTAGATTCTCCTTCACTAGATTCTCCTTCACTAGATTCTCCTTTACCAGATTCTCCTTTACCAGATTCTCCTTTACTAGATTCTCCTTTACTAGATTCTCCTTTACTAGATTCTCCTTTACTAGATTCTCCTTTACCAGATTATCCTTTACTAGATTATCCTTTACTAGATTCTCCTTTACTAGATTCCCTTCACTAGATTCCCTTACTAGATTCCCTTTACCAGATTCTCCTTTACTAGATTCTCCTTTACTAGATTACCTTTACAGATTATCCTTTACTAGATTCCCTTTACTAGATTCTCCTTTACTAGATTCTCCTTCACTAGATTCTCCTTTACTATTCTCCTTTACCAGATTCTCCTTTACTAGATTCTCCTTTACTAGATTATCCTTTACTAGATTCTCCTTTACTAGATTCTCATTTACTAGACTCTCCTTTACCAGATTCTCCTTTACCAGATTCAAAAATGCTTTTCCCCTTTGCATTTGCTGAGTACTTATAGTTAGCATCTAACGCTAGCTATGCTTATTGTTAGCTTAGAATAATAATATACTTTATTATAGTGATAAAGCGTAGCTAGATCACATAAGTATTTAAATTACACAATTTAAAATTTACAACAGTTTACGAAAAAAACAAAAAAAACATAATACCATTTACAGATCTAGTAAATTGAATAGTTTAAGTAGGGAAATAGCTGATTTAAAAAAGCTTGAGATGAAAGATTGCGAATTTCATTGAGAAGAGAATTCCACAACTCGATTTGTAAAACAAACTTTCACCACTTTTAGACGAAATAAGATTACGTTTCAAAAGAAGCCCCTTAGAGTAGCTTGTATTCAAGGTTTACCCTAAAGAAAAAAAAATAACTTAAACTTAAACCTACTTCTGGCATATCCAGCTTTTACATTTAAGCTTTGTAACGATCCAGAAGATGAGCCTTGCTTTTGTTGTTTCCATTCAACTCCGTAAACCATCTTACTTTGGTTTTGGCCTTCATTGCTTCATTGGCTTTGGCCTTCATTGCTTCATTGCTTCATTGCTTCATTGGCTTTGGCTTTGGCTTGGCCTTCATTGCTTCATTGGCTTTGCTTTGGCCTTCATTTTGTTCCGGCTATGAAAAGTTCCGATTTATCCACTCGGCTCACAAATGAAAATAGATTCCTTTCTAATTTCAACACAAAACGCGTAAAACAATACCTTCAATCAACCTGATAAAAGCAAATGATTTGAAAACGAAAAAGAAACGACGACGCGGGACTCCCATCGACTACCTCCAAATGGCGGCGACGTCAATTGGAATGCGACGTCTCGCGAAAAACAAAACATTTAAAATTTGCGACAGAAATTCAAATTTAACATGAAAACGTCTCGAAAAACACCTTTTTTCTCACTGAAGTTCATTCTTTACTTTTAGACTTTGACGGTTTCTTGTTTCTCTTAACACTCTCTTCGTTTCCACTTTGAGTTCTCAACATTTCCCGAAAGTGGTAGCAATTTATTAAAACACTTTTGATATGTACAGCGATGAAAATCACAGAAAAATCCCTTGTGCAAATCTGGGAAAATTGACTTTTGTCCCGTAAAAAAAAGAGAATTGCAAATCGTTTGCAAATCGTTGAAAAATGAAATCACAAATCAAAAAAAAAGTTAAAGAATTTGAAAAAGACTAGTACTAAAAAGGAATCAACAACAATTTTCGCCTTGATAAAGCTTGAAAAGAGCTAATACTCATCATTGTTAAGATCATGTGTTTTGGTGAGTTTGGTGAAATTATTTAAGAATCATTCGACTCTCCATCTCCGAAACATTGCCGCTTAGTGAACGGCACTTTTACTTCGCCATCGTCCTCCAAACGGTTTCTTCTCTGAAAAGCACAAGTTACAATAGATTTATAATAGATTATAATAGTTTATAATAGATTATAATAGATTATAATAGATTATAATAGATTATAATAGATTTACAGCTTGTAGAAAGTAAAACGAATCTAATACCGTAAATACTGTAATAGTACCCCACCCCCCTCGTACAGTCGCGTAGTCGCAAAAGTTTTTTAGTATTTCATTTTTTTCAAAGCGCCCGTACTTTCAAAAAGTGCGTCTTTGGTATCAAAAAATAGCTGAAATTCAGGGCTATTTTTTGATACCTAAGCGCGCATTTTAGCATAAACCAGTGTCGAGAAAAACTCGTTCAAAGCTAGACTACACAACACTCCGCACCGTCATTATGGGGGTGGGGTACTATTACAGTATTTACGGTAGTAAGTTAGTTTTGTTTTATTTCTCTTAAAGTTAAAGATCTATGATCATCTAACGAAGAGTAATAGGTAATAGAGCTTTTTCTGATTAAATCCAGTCTTATACGACAAAAGGAAAAGAATAAGTCATACATTTAAGAGTTTAAGAGTCATTTATTTCCATTTCTGTCTAGGTCTGTCTGTTTGTCTAGTTCTAGATCTAGATTTTGACTTATTCCTAGTTTTTATACTTGTTTCTTTTTTCATTCATCTTTTCCTCACCTCTTTGTTCACAATTTTCAGCATTTCTCGTCTTGTGTAGCCCATTTCAAGAAGGTTGAACGTTGTGCAAATCAACTTAAACAAAAAAACTTTTTCTACTGATCCTTTTTCTACTAATCCTTTTTTGAAATCAAATCATTTTATTAAAACAAACCTTTAACGGATCAGGGACACTCTGAGAGATAAAATTCGAGAAGGCAGTCAGTAGTTGTGCTGGTGGACAAACATCTTTGGAAAGCTGTTTAAACTGTTCGAAGAGGCTGTTGAACTGAAAATCTAATCTTTGAAGATTTTTGGAGTTTCAGAAGTTAAACAAGGTCTAATTCTTGATTTCCTTGTGCTTTTTGTACTATTATCTACCTATCTATCTATTATCTATTTATCTATTATCGATCTATCTATTATCTATCTATACTATTATCTATCTATCTATTATCTATTATCTATCCATACTATTATCTATCTATACTATTATCTATCTATCTATTATCTATCTATCCATTATCTATCTATCTATTATCTATCTATCTATTATCTATCTATCTATTATCTATCTATCTATTATCTATCTATCTATTATCTATATATCTATTATCTATATATCTATTATCTATATATCTATTATCTATATATTATTATCTATCTATACTATTATCTATCTATCTATTATCTATCTATACTATTATCTATCTATACGATTATCTATATTATCTATCTATCTATCATCTATCGATACTATTATTTATCTATCTATTATCTATATTATCTCATTATCCTTTACCTCTTTCACTTCATCATAGGTGAAACCAAGTTGGAAGAGTTCATTGACTCTCTCAACAGGGATCTTCACACTGTCCTCATCAGCTGTTGATCCAGGGGAAATCGATCGGTTCTCCATTCCGCCTATCGGAGCTCGCATAAAGTTCTGAGGCTGAAATGAATATTTATTGATTAATCGTTTATTGCAATATAATCGTTTATTAGTAACTACTTAGTTGTAATAAGTTGAGCTTTAAATCAAAGCATTGCTTGATGAGTCTAAGGTTTTTATTTGATTTATTATTATGCCTACTTTGCAATCAATCGGCATTTCAGGTGGTGTAGCAAAAATGAAAGGATTGAAGCCACCATTGGCGAAAGTTCCGTTTAAATTGAAAACACTTGATGGGACTTCGGCTGCGATTGGTGAATCTACCTGGAACTGTGATTTGAAATGAAAATTTTCGTGGATTTTTGATGGATTACTACTGTAGATTTCTTTTGTTTATATCAAATTATTCATTTAAATAAATATCTTTTTAAATCTATAAAGCTAAACGAAAACAATGCTGATCAAAAAACCTACTGAAATTGCCGGTGCGGCGCCGCCTTGATTCCTCAAACTGTACTGTGAGTTGCTACTGGAGAATGGACCGGGTTCAAACTTCTGAAAGACAGTATTGAATTGAATCATTGTTTAGAATAATAGCTGAAAGTGCTGAAAATAGCTGAAAGTGCTTTGCAAAGACCTCTTTATTCTGTTTGAGTCGATTCTTCAGCGATGCTCGTTGAATGTCAGCCGCTCGACAGATCCGGTCGTAGAATTGTTCTTTTGCTGGCCCGAGAACTTTACCAATCCTGAGATTTTTACGATTATTGATCATTGATTATTGAACATTATTGATTATTGAACTGATTGAACATTAAAATTACAAATTTAACTCACTGATGAATCTTTTTAAGTTGATCAAAAGTGATCGCTGTTTTCGCATTCACTGATGATTCTTTCTGTCGTTTTATGTCTCGTTCAAGAGTGCTCATTTCTCGTTCAACATCCTAAATTTGTCAGTAAAGAAAGAAAGAAACATTTTATGTCAGAAAATCTCTAACTTTCTAGAAAAATTCTACTTTTTTTGAAGAATTTATTAGAATTAGAGTTGAAATAAGCTTTGAAAGCCTTTCTTGATTAAATCAATGACTAAATAAGACTAAATCAATGACTAAATCAATAGAAATCAGACTCATTTTGTCGAACACAAAGAGAGACAAAAGTGCGAACGGGAGCAGCTAAGGTGAAAAAGTAGTGGGTAGTCAAAACAGCGCCATAATAGAAAACTTTCAAAACAGCGCCGTCAAATTCCTCAAAATCCAAGAAACCAAGCCGCTTCAAGTTTTATACCAAAAAATTCCTTGCGTTCTTGGCTACATGATGGGTGAAACAGTTTTTTAAAAAAGTTAATATTTCATAGATAAAAAGAGCACTCAAAATGGGTCTCTAAAGATATTCAGTTAACCAGCTGAGTATCACTCGACACACATTTTGAGTGCTCTTTTTATCTATGAAATATTAACTTTTTAAAAAACTGTTTCACCCATCATGTAGCCAAGAACGCAAGGAATTTTTTGTATAAAACTTGAACCGGCTTGGTTTCTTGGATTTTGAGGAATTTGACGGCGCTGTTTTGAACGTTTTCTATTATGGCGCGTTTTCTATTAATAGTGTGTCCCAGGGCTTTTGTGTGCTTCCCGAATTGGGGAGCACAATTATTTATCTTTATATTATATTATAGATAGATAATTTGTAAAGAACTATTAGCATTAAACACTTTTAAACTTTTGCGAACTATTTTGCATTGATACGACTACCTCGGTGATGGTGGGAGAGGCAGCTTGTGAGGCGGCGAGTTGTTGAATCGCTAACGCGCCAATGTCTCCAATTTGTGGGTCATCCGTTGGTGAGGCACTGAATTTACAATTATTTCTTAAAGAATTATAAACCCTTACTTGTCCTCGTTTCTTTTTGGTGAAATTTCATCACCAGACTCGTGATTGTTGAAGAGACTATCTGCCAATGACGTCATTGATCACCTAAAAAGAAGAATGCTTTCATTTGGAAAGAAAAACAATATTGAGAAGTATTTTGAAAGGAAAAGTTATTGAAATAATAAGACTTTGATTAATAAAACAGTGATAACTACCGTAATCTAGTCTCAATCATTTATTTTGTGATCTGGTTTATAGAGAATATCAAAAGATGTAATAAAGTAGATAAAAAACTAAAGGCAAGATTAAGATTACGATAAATTTTTAAGAAAACTCTTTAGTTAGAGAAGTATTTTGACAGGAAAAGTTATTGAAATAGTAGTCTTTCATCAATAAAACAGTGATAACTACCGTAATCTAGTATCTCAATCATTTATTTTGTAATCTGGTTTATAAAGAATATCAAAAGGCAACAAAATAGATAAAAAAAAACTAAAGACAAGATTAAGATTATGATAGATTTTTAAGAAAAGTCTTTAGTTTTTAAGAAAAGTCTTTAGTTAGAGAAGTATTTTGAAGGAAAAGCTATTGAAATAATAAGACTTTACAGACTTTCATCAATAAAACAGTGATAACTACCGTAATCTAGTCTCAATCATTTATTTTGTGATCTGGTTTGCAAAGAATATCAAAATGCAACAAAGTAGATAAAAAAGCTAGAGACAAGATTAAGATTACGATAGATTTTTAAGAAAAGTCTTTAGTTTTGAAGAAAACTCTTTCGTTGATGTAAGTATTGTGTGGTGAGGTGAGTGTCGGATTGTGTTCACCATCTCTTTTCTTCTTCTTCTTCTTCTTCTTCTTCACCTCATATCTCGAGGCCCATATTGATACACGGTGCCCGATAATTACAAATCGACTGACTCTTTCTCTTGCTACTCTTGCTGCTCTTGTTGCGGCAAAAATCTCTCAATTTTACCTAATCTCTTTCCCTTTTTGTGTGGGCTTTCTCTTTTCCCCGGCCACAGGTGAATATTGGATAATGACCAACGCTACAATTATGAGTTGGTGGATATGGTGGAGGAGTTGGGGAAAGGAGAAGAGACGACAGACGACAGACGGAAATCCCCATGGAGACCGGTGCTGAGGGGAAAGTGGCATAATCATCGTCGAAAAACCCAGAGAAGTCAGTACAAGAGACACCTAATGAGGAGAGGGGGAAAACCCAGCCATTCCAATACAAATCTTTCTCTCTCTCATTTCCCTGACTCTCTGACAACTCTTCTCCGTTTTGAATCCACAATTATAAAGCTTGAAAGTTTTTTTTAGTTGAAAAATAAAACTTTAAAGTTATTTGTTTCTAGTTGTTTTTTTTGAAAGGACTAGTTTTTTTTTATTTGGTTCAAAACTTACTTATCGTATTTTCTCTAATAGTAGTGCACCATGAGCGTCGCCTAAATTGCTCGAAATCTCGAGAACCACTTATCAGAACCTATCGATGTGGGATCGGAAAATGTAGCTGACGATGAGATCTAGTGGGGGATTTGAGTGTTTAGCTTCTGTGAAAACTTGGGAACCGTAGAATAATCATCATGCACTACTATTAAAGAAAATACGGTAACTTCTATTTTACAAGTAATAATAGCTTTTTAAAACAAAGTTTAAAACAAACATTTGACTAGATCTTTGCTAAATAGATTTCTTTACGATGATTACGATATTCAAAGTCTTTTCCTTCTTAAACAATTCAAGTGACTCAAAAACTCAAAACTGACTCAAAAACAAAAGTATTCAATAAATCCGTATTCAAATTCTCAAATCATACCAATTCGCAAACAAATTTCATAACAAAAAAAGTATATTTACTTATAGACGGAACTTCTGGCAAGTTTAGCTGACTCATTAACGTGAAATTTGCAATGAATTGATCAGAGATAACAGCGCTCAGTCAGGTAGCGGTTTGGGAAAAGATTTCCTGATGTAAAAGTGGTGGAAATGAATGGAGTGTCATGGAAATGTAAAAAAAAAAAAACGATCAAAGTCAAATAGTCAAATAGTCCATTTAAAATAGTCAAATACAGTCAATCGTTTTGTTTAAGCATCAAAAGTTTGAATTTTAAAGTGAACAATGTGAATTGACCAAAAAATAACTAAAGTAACCATTGAATTTTCGATCTCAGTTTATTAACTTTAGAGATTAGAGAACTCAAATACAGTATACTTGTAGAGCTTACTTTTAGAGTACAGTATGCCTCTAAAGCCTACTTTTAGAGTACAGTATATCTGTAGAGCCTGCTTTTAGAGTATAGGATGCCTGTAGAGTCTACTTTTAGAGTACAGTATACCTGCAGAGCCTACTTTTAGAGTATAGTATACCTGTAGAGCCTACTTTTAGAGTACAGTATGCCTCTAAAGCCTCCTTTTAGAGTACAGTATACCTGTAAAGCCTACTTTTAGAGTACAGTATGCCTGTAGAGCCTACTTTTAGAGTACAGGATGCCCGTAGAGCTATACTATACTTTAAAAGAAATAAAAACAATGCTATTTTGAAGCTTTTTAAATAGTGAATGATTGACAAAAAGACAAAAAGAAGTTTTTTGATAGTTCAACTACGGTAAACTCAGTGAATCCTATGATGAAGCTGTGTTAAAATGAAGAAGAAATGAAGGTGAAGTGAATGGTTGGTGAAATGAGGAGTGTAGCTAACAAACTGATAGTGGAATAGGGCAGGAGAGAGGGGTGGTGTTGGGTGATTGGAAAAGAAGGATCCTTGGATGGAATGGCCATTTGCTGATATCGAGGTTCCCCAATTCTATGATTGAAAGAAAAGAGAGTGCCAGTCTTGTCTTTTCACTCGTTTCTCTGCCACATCACAACTCTTTTCCCCCCTTCTTTTTTTTTCAACGATTATTTGGAGGGGACAGCTTGACTTCTTGTGATGTCCCCACATTCCCTTATCAACCCTTCTACTCTCTCCGATGATTGCCGCCAAATCTAATACATTTCCCCTCACCTTCCCTTTCTTTTTCTTTTGCCAGTGATCCCAATATGGATATCGATCCGATCCCCCTGTCTTCCATTGAGTCTTTTCTGGAAAGATAGATTAAAATAGATTAAACCAAGAATTAAACTAGTTCCTATTGGGTTGGTGAATTGAAAACTGCGGGCTATTGTCATATGTGACAGTTTGAGGACTTTCTTCAAAAGAAACCCATTTTGGTGTCAATGGAAAAGTTGTAGAGAATCAAAAATGAAGCTTATATCCAAATTTCCAAAAAGATACACTTAGTAGTTTCGCTTAAAATTTGTGTTCTGTGTGTTCTTTATGCGGCCGCGTAATCGCTCGTCGTCTGGCACATGCGCTTAACATCACCCCCTTCCCTCTCCCCTCTCCAAACTTACCTGGCCGGCTCCGAATCCTCAAATTGGACATTGTCCTCACCTCAAATCAAGGCTAATCTCAATCAATCACGGCTAATCTATTGGGTTGGTGAATTGGAAACTGCGGGATATTGTCATATGTGACAGTTTGAGCACTTTCTTCAAAAGAAACCCTTTTTGGTGTCAATGGAAAAGTTGTAGAGAATCAAAAATGAAGCTTATATCCAAATTTTCAGAACGATTCAAAAACTGGTTTTCAAGAAATGCCAAATTTGCGAATTTTCACAAAACTTGCATTTTAAGCGAAACTACTAAGTGTATCTTTTTGGAAATTTGGCTATAAGCCTAATTTTTGATTCTCTACAACTTTTCTATTGACACCAAAATGGGTTTCTTTTGAAGAAAGTGCTCAAACGTCCTCCAGGGACATCTCCAGTCCTCCATTTTTGAGTCTCACACTTGTCTCACACACAAACCAAAATCCTACTACGAAAGAGGAATCCGCAAATTGCCTGTAAAATGGGCAGAAGTCGTCATTAATAATGGAAATTATTTGGAATGAATTCATGGTTTTATGTTGAATAAATTTTAGTTCAAAGTCCGCAGTTTTCAATTCACCAACCCAATAGTTTCTTGGCCTAGTCTGGCTTTAAACTAACAACAATACTAGAAACTGCAATCATTATTTAGTGCATGTACATGAACCAAACAATTGATCAAAAAAAATTGCAGAAATTCAGAACTTAAACACATCTTTAGCAAAACCACGATAGCAAATTTCAACACGAAACACTTTCTCCATCAAAAAAACTTGATTTTTCCCTAGAGGCAGTGAAAATATTTTCCTAATTTCACATTTTCAAAGCGGCGTGATAAGTTTTTCTTCTGTTTAAATGAATCACATCAGAATTTCTCGAGTTTGGAAGCTGAAAGAGTGATAAAGATTGGTGAAAAGAAAGGAAGGAAGGGACGGGGAGACTGTTCTGTTGTCGTCAATCAGTCCCTTTCTTTTTCTTCTTTTTTCCCCTTCCCATCTTCTGATATTCGATGTCCTGGACAGATTCCCCATTGCTCATGATTTGACAGAAATTGTTTGTAAGAATAGAATGATTGAAAGAATAGAATGAATGAATTATTGAACTCTTTAAGAGCAAATACTTTAAAGTTTTAAGATTTTAAAGAAATCGAATCCGTGGGTTTCTCGTGGATGAGTTAGCAAAAAGTCTAGCAATTTGACTGTAAGCAAAATCTGTAAATCTTTTTTGTTGTGTTGATGTTGATGATACAATTTGAATAGTTGAAAAGAATTGATTTAACAATTTATTGACTTTTTCATTACACTCAATTCTAGTTTGACAATGAATTTGATCAAAAAAGAGAAAAAATACTGTGAAATGGACACGGTAGATGGTTCGAACTTTAGAAAACATTTAAGTTAACAAATAGATACCGTAAATACTGTAATTGGACCCCATGGGGTACTATTTTTTCCCTCCCCCTCTAGGGTGGGGTACTATTAGAGGGTGGGGCACTATTAGAGGGTGGGTCACTATTTTACACCACTGTGCTTGTAATCGCCTTCTTTGATTGTCTTGTTCAGCCTCAGAATGTGCTCGATGATGGCCTTCTCAAATTTGACTCGGCAGCTTTTGACAAGTTGTTGTTGGTGCCCTCAAAGAAAGTTGGTGACGCCTCAAGAACGACTCCATCCAGCCATGGGTTCTTTTGAAAGAAATTTCAGCTTTTTTGAATCATAATAAGGAAATACATGAAAATTTTCCGCTTTAAAAGAGTTGTTTGTAGTTACGCGTTAGGTGGAGGTGGGGTACTATTAGAGGGGTGGGGTCCAATTACAGTATTTACGGTAGCTACTATCTGGGTTACTATTTTACACCACTATTTAAGTTACCAAATCAGGACACATTCAAATAATTTTTTCAAAAGCAAACTTTTTCTTTAGTTTTTATTGGTTTTAACCATTTGAAAATTTAACAGCGAAACGAAACAAAAATAACTAACCAGCGAAATCAATAGAAACATCCAAATCAATGAATTCATCATTTGCTTGATCATCTATTCCTCGATGTCCTTGAAATCCTGTCGATGCGAGCGGCCCCAAGAGGTCTTCGATTTCCGTGTCTGTCCGATTTCCGTCTCTGATCTCTAACACCAACTTCTTTGGCTCCAACCGCTTCGATGCACTTGCTCGTCGAAGCATCCAGCCAAACCGCCGTTTCATCGCAAGCAACAATGTGCTTGTAATCGCCTTCTTTGATTGTCTTGTTCAGCCTCAGAATGTGCTCGACGATGGCCTTCTCAAATTCGCTCGACAGCTTTTGACAAGTTGCTGTTGGTGCCCACAAAGAAAGTTGGTGGCGCCTCAAGAACGACTCCATCCAGCCATGGCTTCTTTTGAAAGAAATTTCAGCTTTTTTGAATCGATTAGCCGCTTCATTCCAGATAATCCGGCGTGTCACTCGTTTCTTCTCGGCTCGACGATCCCGTATCCATTCAGCCAAACCGATATCAATCCTCTCCGAGTTCAAGTGGCTGTAATAGTACCCCACCCCCATAATGGCGGTGCGGAGCGTTGCGTAGTCTAGCTTTGGACGCGTTTTTCTCGACACTGGTTTATGCTACAATGCGCGCTTAGGTATCAAAAAATAGCTGAAATTCAGGGCTATTTTTTGATATTAATGACGCATTTTTTGAAAGTACGGGTGCTTTGCAAAAAATGAAATACTAAAAAACTTTTGCGACTACGCGACTGTACGAGGGGGGTGGGGTACTATTACAGTATTTACGGTAAGTTAACAAATAAATAATCTTTACGAAAACTACTATACTCCCAACAAGTTTTGAATAAGTTTTATGTAAAAATCTATTCTTTCCTGTTCCCCAAATACTCATTCGAGTGATTGAAGCAAAGAGATTGACAAAGCAACAAGCACAGTCCCTGTCAAAGATCAAATTCCTTCAAAATCATCCTTAATGAAGCCTATCCTTTGGGAAAAGCATTCAAAATGTACTCTCTTTTTCGATTTTGTCAAAAAGAAAGCCAGCAAAGGAAATCCCTTTTGATGGGTGCTTAAAAAGCGTTGACCCAAAATCGGGAATCGACTCAGGGAATTGACTGTGGGAAGGGATTTTGAGAAACGTAAAGAGGAGATTTCTCCTTTCACCAATCTCAATCCATCTTTTCCCCCTTTTTTTCGATTCATTCTGTTCTCAATGCTGACCACATTTCGCACCAGATCTTTCCGATTTGCATTCCTTTTTGGAGTACTTTTTGGTAATATTTTTGTAAATTGGTAAATTGATCATTTTTAAAAAAAGATTTTGGCTTTTTTAAACTTTGAAAACATTTTGAGAATCTTCCAAACTCTTCCAAACTCTTCCAAACTCTTCCATAAGAGGCCATATTGTTTTGATTCTTAAAAATCAAACTGATCGTTGAGTTCGTTCAAATTTTTGTCTAGATTAAAGTTGATTGATAAGATTTAGAAACGAAAAATGTAAAAATCAAAGAAACATCTCTAGTACTAGTTCTAGAATTGCTAATCTATTAGCTAAATAGCTAGCTAAATAGCTATTAGCTAAATAGAAAACATTCTTCAATTTATTCGAATTATTCGAATTATTCTTGTAAAAAAGATTCAAGATTTCACAAGAAATGATTTGTTTTATCAATTTGTATATAAAAGTCAGATTTTTAGAGTGATATTCACATCTCTTCATAGATAATATTAAACAATAAAATTTGCATTAAAGAAATACAACAATAACATTAGTTTTTAGAATAAAAACATTTTCTATATTTTCTATATTTTCTATATTCTCTAAAACAATCTAAATAGACAATGCAAAATCAGAAATCAAATTAAAATCACGCGCGAAATTAGCACACCAAACAAATTGCACTTTTCTCTAGTGAAATTTGATGAGGATTCTTTTGAAATCAACTGTAAGTCGATCCGATCGCTGGAAGTCGAGATATAGACAGTTTTAACGACATGTCGAAACTTCAAGGGTTCTTTGACCAAGAACATAGAGAAAAATGGCGTCAAAGTTGATCGACTTCTGTAGGTAAGTCGATCAACTTTGACGCCGTTTTTCTCTATATTCTTACAGGTTAGTGTACAAAATAAATTGCACTTTTCTTTAGCCAAATTTGATGAGGATTCTTTTAAAACCAACTGTAAGTCGATCCAATAGCTGGAAGTCGAGATATAGACAGTTTTAACGACATGTTGAAACTCCAAAGAATCCTTGGAAAAAAAAACGGCACTTGAGCGCACTAGTTGATGGGTAGGGAAAATTTCAGTTTGCTGAGCGATTGGTTTCTCTTTTTTCTTGGGCGGAGGGGAGAGAACTCATAAGTACCTTTTTTGTTGCAAACAAGAAGTAATTGCTAAGCTGATTTTTGCTTTTAGTACTCATCACGGCTCACCGCAGCAACGAGGATCTTCCGGAGACTGATCAGTTGAGTAATTGCACAAAGAAATGCCTCGATCCGATCTACAAAATGAAAAGAACATTTCACTATGTTTTCGCGAATTTCGAGAAGGTATTGATTTCATTTTAAATAAAAAATTCAAAAATCCCGCTTAGGTTTGCGACATTCTCGACACGGCAGCGCATTGCTCGCAAAAATGCGAACGTTCTGAGCAAACGAAATTCTGGCAATTCACCACTTTCTACCGGGTGCATTGTGTGAATCATGAAGAAGGTTTGGAAAGGAAAAATTTCCATAAACTATTTCACTTTTGTGCGTCTTATTTCCGAAGCTTCGAATCGGAAAAAAGAATTTGAAAAAGCTGATGTAAAAATGTTTAAGAATGTAATTCATTATTTAAGAATGGAGAAAAATTCGATTCAAGTTCAATGTAAAAGTTAGATTTAAAAGTTAGATTGAGTTGTAAGGTTAGACTTTTTAGTTTTTGAGAATATCAATACTATGTGGTTGTTTTCTTTCTAAAACTCTCGATTTCATGCTCAAAATTCCTGGAAATGCTCGCAAAAATGCGAACGTTCTGAGCAAACGAAATTCTGGCAATTCACCACTTTCTACCGGGTGCATTGTGTGAATTATGAAGAAGGTTTGGAAAGGAAAAATTTCCATAAACTCTTTCATTTTTGTGCTTCTTCTTTCCGAAGCCTCGAATCGGAAAACAGAATTTGAAAAAGCTGATGTAAAAATGTTATTTAAGAATGGAAAAAAGTTCGATTCAAGTTCAATGCATTAGAATTTAGATTGAGTTGTAAGGTTAGACTTTTGACCTAGACTAGTCTTGGCTTGGCTTGAATCTTGTAGGTCAGCCATCTTTTATTTCAGAAATTTTCAATACTATGTGGTTGTTTTCTTTCTAAAACTCTCGATTTCATTGTGCTCAAAATTCCTGGAACGCAAAAATCAACGAGCAATTACTTCTTGTTTCCAGGAGCTTCCAGAAATGCGAAATGAAACGAGCAACTGAGCAAACGAAATTCTGGCAATTCAGCTTGATAATTTAATTTACAATTTACTTGAAATTTAGGTTTCTGGATTTTCTTTCTGAAACTATACATTAGTTTATCTTTATCTTTATCTAATCTGTTATTTCAGAAATCGAGCAACATTTGAAATGCCTCAGCAATGCGGCAATTGATGTCGACTCAGGTCGGTAGATTGTTTCTTTCAACTTTGGTAGGTAATATAGAAAGAGTTGAAAGCTTAAATTGATTAGATAATAGACATCGTTTAAGGAGTCATACTTAGGATTTAAATCCAGAAAAATCAGAACGATTAACCCAATTTTGACGAATTTAAGCCCTCTGCAGTGCGGTGCTATGATTGTGGGCCACCCTGCAGTTTAGTTACCCAATCTTGGCTAGAAGCGGCAAAGAAAGTTCGAAAGAAAAGAAGTATTTAGATTTCTTTAATAAAACCCATTTCTTGAGCGATTTCTAGGCTCTCTGAAGTGAGGCGCTATAATTGTGGGCTACTCTGTGGCTATTGTATGAGATAATATGTTAATTTCGTGACATAATATTGCATTGTAGGCAATTTACTAGATAGCTAGTACTAATATTTAACGATTACTTTCAGTTTGCAAGGATAAATGCAGTCATGTCGATAAACTCGAGCCGGGAATGGACAAAGAGGAGAGAGTGGCGAGAGCGTGCAAGTAGCTGATTTCGGTCTTATTTTTTTTAGAATCTGAGTTTCTATCTAGGATTTAGACCATTTTCAACCAATTTCACGATTTTCAACCAATTTCACGATTTTTCACGATTTTCAGAGCTGTTGAGTGCTCAACTGTGTGCTATTTTCACGAATTCGCCGGAGATTGCCCGAAAGCCAAAGATTTGCTAGTTGTAAGTAATTGAGAATTTTAACAGCTCTTTGTACACTAACCTGTAAGAATATAGAGAAAAAACGGCGTCAAAGTTGTTCGACTTACCTGCCGAAGTCGATCAACTTAGATACCGTTTTTCTCTATGGTCTTGGTCAAAGAACCCTTGAAGTTTCAACATGTCGATGAAACTGTCTATATCTCGACTTCCAGCGATCGGTTCGACTTACAGTTAGTCTTAAAAGAATCCTCATCAAATTTCACTAGAGAAAAGTGCAATTTGTTTTGTACACTAACCTGTAAGAATATAGAGAAAAATGGCGTCAAAGTTGATCGATTTACCTCCAGAAGTCGATCAACTTTGACGCCACTTTTCTCTTTTATCAATTAAATCCAGAGAATTGATAAAGAAAGAGAAATTCCAGAGAATAAACTTGGATCAAATCAACGAGGTGGCTCTATCAATTCATCCAAAACAACACGAGTTGATGAGCCATGAATGCAAGTATGTGGACAAGAGCTACAAATTACAAGCTACAAAGCCCTTCTAGAAACGTGTAGAATAGATATTTTTAAAAGCTTTTTTACTAGGCTGACTTTAGGCTTTCGAATGACACAAAAATCAGAGCAAATCATTTTTTCGACATTGAGATTTAACGTTTCTTTCCAAATGAAGACTACGAATAGCTATAAATGGCTTGTTCTCGAAATAAAAATGATAGATTAACTTGATTTTGGTGCCATTCGAAAGTCTAAAGTTGGCTCAATCTTTTAATAAAAAAAAGTTTTCAAAAGTATCTATTCTACGCGTTTCTACAAGGATTTGTAGTTCGGCTTTGTACAGGTTTGTAGTTCGTAACTTTGTACAGGTTTGTAGCTTGTAACTTTGTACAGGTTTGTAGCTTGTAGCGCTCATATCTAATGTCTACTATCTTACAATTATTTCAACTAATCCACTTTTTAATAGACAACTAAACCGTCATCGTACTGTCAATTTATATTCAATCAACTCAATTTTCTAACATTAACTAAACCTTTTTATTCCCTATCGAATGTTACCAAAATTGAGTTGATCGAATGAAAACTAACAAGGGAATCACATAACGAACGCCGATTGCCCGCAAAATGTAGAATCGACTCTAGGGAAAAACATATTAGAAATTCAGCTGCAAAGCTCCAAGATTACGGTAGTTATAACGATCATAAACATTTCGCTTTCTATCAAGAAAATTGTCATTTTGATAGCAAAAAAAAGTATTTCAAAGACAAACTCTAACGAGAGATCCTCCGCTTTGTAACCAAGCGCACTATCACTGCACCACTGCGTAATGGTTCCATGCCAACTAGCTTCAATATCGTTGCACAGAGAGAAACCCCATTGTCGCCCTAATCTTACCAAATATCAAAAACACTATAACCACCGTAATCTTGGAGCTTTGCAGCTGAATTTCTAATACACTCTGTCAAAAAATTATAGACGCACCCGGTTTTTTGCTAGTTTAGAGCCGGATATAAGTGCTAGTCCAGTGCAAAGTATTTTTTTAGTTTCTTTAATGTAAAAAAACAACCCATGCAAAATTTCAAGTCATTTCACTCATCCAAAGTACTTTATCGTACAAAAAACGTTTTATCAGCTGTCAAAAAATTATAGACGCACTTTTATTTTATCAAGAAAAAGTTAACAGAAATAAAAATAACAACGCAAACCAAATAAATTAATAATGTGTGGCCCCTCCTTGCTTTAGTCCAACTTCAAAAAGACGTCTCGGCATCGAAGAGACAAGGTCATGGAGCGCTGTTGGCTGAAGCCGATTCCAGGCTACTTGAATGGCTTTCTTGAGTTCATTCACGCTCGAATATTGCTTGTTTCCCTTGTAGACATCTCGAACGAGTGTCCCCCACACATTCTCAATCGGGTTCAAGTCTGGGCTGCAAGCGGGCCAAGCGACAGTGCCGATTTTGTGCGCTGTCAGCCAATCTCTTGTGGAGCGACTTGCATGAATACTCGCGTTATCGTGCATAAAAGTAAAGTTATTGCCCGGATTGTTGTTCAGATAGACGGCTAGATGTTTGTCCAACACTTGTTGATAGTCAAGCGATGTCATCCGGGTCGAAATAAACTCTAAGCCGACCAGTTCACCGTCTCGAAAGGCTCCCCATACCATACATGATCCACCTCCAAAGTTCCTCGTGCTGAAGACCATGCCCGGCTTTCGTGAATCCTTCCAATATCCTCGAAAACCATTAGCCCCATTAACGTTGAACTTCTTTTTGTCACTCCAAATGATCTAAACATAAAATACATAAGAAATACTAGTAAACCAACTCCTTCCCATTTGGTCTTCTGGTTCTTTTGAGCGAAATCGATACGGGCGGCTTTATGGTCCTTTGTAAGTCGTGGAGCTTGCTTCATGAGTTTGTATTTGAGTATTGTAGATCGTTTGACAACGTTGTGTACAGTTTGGCGAGTGACCGGGAGCTTCATCTCCTTGCGAACCTCTTCGAGTGATGTCGTCGTGTTGGAAAGACGTCTCGTAATTGCGCGTTCGTCTTGATCGGTCAACCTTTTCTTCCGGCCCCGTGTTTCTTTCTTCTTAGGAGTCATTTTGGTCTTGAGATACGTGCGAATACACTTCTCAGAACGTCCGATGCGATGAGCAATGTCCCTGTTTGAGTGACCAAGCGTGTGGAGCACATCGATACGCGTTTTTTCCACCACATCCAGTTGTTTTCCAAGTGGCATATCTGAAAATGTAAAAACATTTATAAACATAACTAATAAGCAAAAAAAATGAGAAAAAACTAACAATTATTGATAGAATAAATCGTCAAATAAAAGTGTGTCTATAATTTTTTGACAGCTGATAAAACGTTTTTTGTACGATAAAGTACTTTGGATGAGTGAAATGACTTGAAATTTTGCATGGGTTGTTTTTTTACATTAAAGAAACTAAAAAAATACTTTGCACTGGACTAGCACTTATATCCGGCTCTAAACTAGCAAAAAACAGGGTGCGTCTATAATTTTTTGACAGAGTGTATGTTTTTCCCCAGAGTCGATTCTACCTAGCCACCAATTTTGCGGGCAATCGGCGTCCGTTATATGATTCTCTTGTTAGTTTTCATTAGATCAACTTAATTTTGGTAACATTCGATAGGGAATAACGAGGTTTAGTTAATGTTAAATTGGGTTGATTGAATATAAATTGAGAGTACGATGACGGTTTAGTTATCTATTAGAAAATGGATTAGTTGAAATGTTGAATGTTAGTTGAATAATTGTAAGATACTAGACATTAGATATGAGCGCTACAAGCCTGTACAAAGCTACAAGCTACAAACCTGTACAAAGCTACAAGCTACAAGCCTGTACAAAGCTACAAGCTACAAGCCTGTACAAAGCTACAAGCTACAAACCTGTACAAAGCTACAAGCTACAAGCCTGTACAAAGCAGTTTATGTTAGAAAATTGGGTTTATTGAATATAAACTGACATTTTGATGACGGTTTAGTTGTCTAAATGTCTAAATGGAATAATCATTTCAATCATTTTCGAATCAATTCTCCATTTTCAAATCAATCCCACACATTTCTAGGCACATCCACGATTTGGACTACATGAAAGCTGCCATGCTTGCCTCGTTTGATCAATTCGATTAATGCAAAAAAGCACAATGCTAATAATCATAAATAAAATTGTAATCCAACAAATCTCTGTTTCTTTGATTCCTTCAAAAACCCACTAATTACTCGTCAATAGCAACCATCAACAAAAGGGAAAAAGAGCCAAAAAATGAGGAGATTTCAATGATTTCTGCGAATTCAATGAATGAATCTACCAAAGCTTTCGAATTTTTTTTTTGAATAACAACAATTTAATTGAGCTAACAGCTTTCGAAAAAAAATCAAAACGACTTGGCTCGAGCTTGTCATACTTTAAAGCTTTAGGAAAACGAAGAACTGATTGGTAGACTCAATAAAATGAATAGTTCCAATCGATTGCCCGACCCCGAAAATCCCTGGGTACAAATTTACAGCTCAATATCTTCTAATCTACAAAGCCAAAGAATCCCTTTGTAAATGACTGGCAAGGTGTTCTTTGTGCGGTTATCGCTCTCCATCTGGCGAATCCCTCTGGTACAAGGTGCTTCCCTGTTCGGCTCGTTAAAGAGAAAGGAGTGGTGAGCAGCTGAGCCACCTTTGGCCTTTTGGACGTCACTATGTCCAGTCTTTTGGGATCAATTCCTGACTTGAATTTGGCCCTATTTTTGCTACAAAAACTTCTTCCCTACTTCCTGCTTTTTATTTTCTATTTTCTACTTGCTACTTCCTTTCTAAATCAAAACCATTCAAAATACCCAAGGTTGACTTGAAAAGCTGATTTCATCTTTTACCTGACAATTTACTTTTACTGAGAATCGATCGTAATTCAGATTCCTTCTTTAATTGATCGGCTCAACGAAGAAAAGATTGGTAGATTCAATAAAATGACTAGTTCCAATCGATTGCCCGACCCCGAAAACCCCTGGATACAAATTTACAGCTCAATATCTTTTTCTAACATCTACAAACAAGAATCCCTTAGTGAATGACTGACAAGGTGTTCTTTGTGTGGCCGGGTAATCGCTCTCCATCTGGCTATGCGTTGCGCTCGTAAAGCTTGATTCTTTTAGCATTGATCTAAATATGTGACAAGTTTTTGAAACAAGCATCACTGTGATCTTTCATTGGCAAAATTTAACCTAAACTCGGTACATTTTCACAATCATTTCACTGAAACTCCACTTAATCGAATAACTTTTCTTCTTTAATTTCATTTTTATTGTGTCGGCCTTTCCACAATCATTTCTTTTTATCATTTTTTTTGAATTCACAAGAGATTCTTCTTCTTTTTGTGTCTATTCACTGTTCCAAAGTCCCCTCTTTCCATTTCTCCAATTTCTCAGAATTCCTTCCTCAAAATTGGTCTCTTGATCAAAAGAAAAGACATAAATTTACTAGTTTTTTTCCATTTTTCTCATTTTCCTACCAAATTTACAATGATTTATAGTTCCCTTTTTAAGCTAATCATTCTGAAACTAAAATTGCTTCAAGTTTTACTACAGCTAGCCGCCTGTAATTAAAGGCTGCCATTTTTCTTCCGAAATTCTTCGTTTTTAAGAAAAGCTATTATTTTATTTTTCATATTTTTCTCAATTTAATCTATAAATTGTTTTTTTTACTAAATAATCTAAGATTTTTTTTGTTTAATATTAAAAAGTTTAAATTTACATTCTTAATGAACATTTCGAAGAATCGTCCGTTTTTTGAAAAGATTTTCCCAATCCAATCAAGCAGCTAAGATTACGATCAGCTGAGAAACAAAGTTCGACTTGATTTCTGTCAAGACTTTGGAATTTTATTCATCTTTTTTCTTCATCTTTCTTCATGACTCGGCTTCACCAGAAAGCTTGGCTTTTCGCCAGCTTCTGAAATCCCATATATCCCATAATCCCGTCAATCATATAACAAAACCTAATTGAAAAAACAAAAAGCTACTAGGTATTTGCATAAAAACTGACATATTTTAATCCCTGAATACTCAACCTTTAATTTTCTTCATCCTTTTTCTTCATCTTTCTTCAAGTCAGGTTCAAGCGCTCGGCTTCACCAAAAAGTTTGGCTTTTTGCCTGAACTTACGTCTCTGAAATCCCTGTCAATCATATAACAAAACCTGATTGAAAAAAACAAAAAGCTATTAGGTATTTGCATAAAAACTGACTTATTTTAATCCCTGAATACTTAATCTTTAATTTTCTTGGATCTCTCAAATCTCCGCTTTTTCTTCTCTCCTCAAACTTTACGAGAAAATCATTTTCTCGTAAACTACCAGGTTACCAGAACTACCAGGTTTCAGGTTTTGATCTCAAACTGGATCCGAAGAAATTTTGCTGGCTTATGGCTGAGATTCACGCGAGAAAATCATTTTCTCGAATTTCTACCGTATAAAATTAGCACAATTTATGAATTTTCTTAACGATTAAAGGAATTTCGAGTCAAAATTAGTCTTTTCTCTCAAGAGAATTCACTCCACAAATTTCTAAGCAAAAAAAAAGAAATCGAAAAAGATTTGGAATTGAAAGATAGATTAGACCAATTAAACATTTCAATACATAATTAGATACAAAAGAACTCACGTACCCAAGAAATAAAACTAAAAAAAAGAAAACAAATTTCGATTTGGATTCAATTTCCAGAAAATCCCCTAAACTTTCAAATTTCTTACCCTGTTTTAATTGAAAAATTCAAATCTATTACTCAAAATTCGTCATTATACACTCTGTCAAAAAATTATGGACGCACGTTTTTGTGTGCTGTTTTTTGCTAGTTTAGAGCCGGACATAAGTGCTAGTCCAGTGAAAAGTGTTTTTTTAATTTCTTTATTGTAAAAAAAACAACTCATGCAAAATTTGAAGTCATTTCACTCATCCAAAGTACTTTATCGTACAAAAAACGTTTTAACAGCTGTCAAAAAATTATAGACGCACTTTTCTTTATCAAGAAAAAGTTAACAGAAATAAAAATAACAACACAAACCAAATAAATTAATAATCCTTCCAATATCCTCGAAAATCATCAGCACCATCAAGTTTGAACTTCTTTTCGTCACTCCAAATGATCTAAACATAAAATATATAAGAAATACTAGTAAACCAACTCCCTCGCATTTGGTCTTCTGGTTCTTTTGAGTGAAATCGATACGGGCGGCTTTATGGTCCTTTGTAAGTCGTGGAGCTTGCTTCATGAGTTTGTATTTGAGTATTGTAGATCGTTTGACAACGTTGTGCACAGCTTGGCGAGTGACCGGAAGCTTCATCTCCTTGCGAATCTCTTCGAGTGATGTCGGCGTGTTGGAAAGACGTCTCGTAATTGCGCGTTCGTCTTGATCGGTCAACTTTTCCTTCCGGTCCCGTGTTTCTTTCTTCTTAGGAGTCACTTTGGTCTTGAGATACGTGCGAATACACTTCTCAGAACGTCCGATGCGATGAGCAATGTCCCTTTTTGAGTGACCAAGCGTGTGGAGCACATCGACACGCGTTTTTTCCACCACATCCAGTTGTTTTCCAAGTGGCATATCTGAAAATGTAAAAACATTTATAAACATAATTAATAAGCAAAAAAAATGAGAAAAAACTAACAATTATCAATAGAATAAATCATCAAATAAAAGTGCGTCTATAATTTTTTGACAGCTGTTAAAACGTTTTTTGTACGATAAAGTACTTTGGATGACTTGAAATGACTTGAAATTTTGCATGAGTTGTTTTTTTACAATAAAGAAACTAAAAAAAATACTTTTCACTGGACTAGCACTTATGTTCGGCTCTAAACTAGCAAAAAACAGGGTGCGTCTATAATTTTTTGACAGAGTGTATTAGCCAACCAAGTCTCGTGTCTTCTTGGAATCAATTTTCTTTTAAAAAGCGCCTTTTCTAAACCCTTTTCCCATTATTGTAGCTTGAGAAGAAAATATGTGGTTTCTTCCGGAAATTACACCCTTTTCCCCTTTCAAAAATCTCTTTTTATCAACTTTTTCTCTTTAAAAATTTCAATATTTGTTTAAATTAATAGGAACTTTCAGTTTTACATGTTTTCGAAAGTTTTTCCCTCTTCTGATATCGATTTTATAATATACTTTGTGCCAATGAATGCAAATTTTCACCTTTCTGTGTATCTTTCTTTATTCTGGCAAAAGAATAATATACTTTGTGTTAATGAATGCAAATTTTCACCTTTCTTGTATCTTTCTTTATTCTAACAAAAGAGATTGCCAATTTTCTTCACAGTACACTCAACAACTAATGACAATGAAAATGTTCCTTATGAGATTTCGTTATAGAAAACCACAATTTATTTCATACACTCTAGGGTAAAAACATAGAGAAAATCTGTGTCAAAGTCAGACTACCTACCTGAAAGGGTCGATCCACTTAACAACTTTCACACGATGAAAGGAAAGCGGAAAAAAAGTAAACCACGTCAAATGAACAACAGTTACCTTATATAGGCTTTAACACAAGATATTCAGTTAGCTTTAACACAAGATATTCAGCTAACAAGCTACAAAACAATAAATGATTTGGGGCGCGAAATAGAATGGATTTCCCCAATACTTTTCCAATTTTTAGGCTGGCAGAGTTAGGTAACTTTTTAGCGGCTATTCGCCACATTAGATATAAATTAACTTCAACTAGCGAGCTTTCTCTCAAACTATCAAACTTTCTTGCTTACTTTGACAGCGTCCAACTAGCTTCTGTTTAAAAACTCTCAAACTTTCTTCCTTACTTTGACAGCGTCCAACAAGCTTCTGTTTAAAAAAATACTACCTTTCCCAAATAATTAGCAAGATGTTCTACTTGCAAATACGTTAAAGAAAATATAATGCGCGTTTTCTTAGATCTAACAATTTGTTCGATAAGAAAAGCAAATATCGATCAATAATTCACCACTTTTATCGACTTCTTCTCATCTATTTAATTCCATTTGTAAAAAATTGAGGATTTTTAGAGCCAAAAAAGTTGTCGACCACTTTTTTTGACTTGAGCATGATCATTGAACTTTTCTCTTATAATAATATTCTATGTCCTGAATAAAGTATCTATTATAATAAACTGTT